AGAGCGACATTGTTTTTCCACTGGTTTGCGATATTCTTAAAGGCGTGACGTCATACCAAAACATGCCACGCCGTAAGGGACAAGGAATCTCCCCTACAAAGAGTAAGTAAATCTTAATTGTCAAGGTTCACCTTACTGAAACCACTAATATATCAGCAGTGTGGAATAAGAATCCCAACTTAGAAGATGGACAATGGAAGAAAAGAGGTCTAGAAATGGGATTCTGGCATGTGTTGTGTGCAGCATATGTCTTCTGATACCGGATTTTCATCGTGAAGGTTGTTTTCAGTTGCTTGCTGTGGAAGGAAGGGAAATCCTAAGTTTTTTTGCAGCGATAGAGGGAAGAAGAAAACCAATTCCTTGGGTGGTGATGGGAGAGGGACTGATCATACCGTAGGCGAGCCACTGGTGGAATGTGTGACCCTCCCCGCTGTCCCCCTCAGCCCCCGGGGCTCCCCTTTAGTCTATGTATACCCATCCTCGTTCAATCGGGCCGTACGTCCTTCCTTGAGTTTCAGCACTTTGGCTCGGTTATTGGAGAGAGGGGGGAGGCATGTTTTGCAGTCGCTACAGTGTGTTTGCTTGACTACGTGCTGCGTAATTTTTAATTATCGCCCTTGATATGGATTTGAACAGTGAATTATTGCCGTTGGTATTTACGTATTTTTAAAACGCGAAAAAAACATTATAAAAGAAATAAGCGCATAGCCCAATGACTGATAATGAAAGCTTTTACCAGTTTTGTGGGTAACGTGGTTCTTTACTTTGAGGGAACAGCGTGATTTCAATTATTTGAAACGGGAGAAAGAAGCGGACAAGATGTGAATGAAACAGACTTCTACTGAGGGAACCGACATGATGACAAAGGCAGGTGGGCGGGAGGATAAAAGCAAAATGGAACCGAGGATGATGGTAGGTAGGATTGTTTATAGGCCAGAGAAGTGGTTTTAGAGGCTGTGTGCACTTTGGTTTCTTTTAACATCAATGAGTCACGTCTGCAGCATCAGATTACTAATTTAAATTTTAATCTTCTTGTTTTAAAGCGCAGTATGAAACAAGGAGATGCTGTGTCTCCATTGCTCTTTAACTTTGCGCTAGAATACGCCGTCAGGGAGGTCCAAGGTAAATCACGAGGGTTTGCAATTGACTGGGTCACACAGCTATTGGCAAATACTGATGATGTTAATTAATTGGGCGACGATATAAATACAATAAAGAGGAACACAGAATTTTTACTAGAGGCTAGTAGACAGGTGGGGCTAGAAGTAAATTCAATAAAAACTAAGTACATGTTTGTATCTCGTCAGCAGACAGGCGGGCAGAATTGTCTTAGGGGGGCTAATAAGTCCTTTGAAAGTGTTACAAAGTTCAAATATTTGGGAACGACAATAACAAATGAAAATGACACTCATGAGGAAGTTAGGAGGAGACTAAATTCCAGAAATGCTTGCTACTTCTCAGTTCAAAATATTTTGTCTTCCCGTCTGATTTCTAAGAACCCGAAAATTAAAGTATACAAAACACTAATTTTTCCTGTTGTTTTGTATGGGTGCGAAACATGGTCTCTCACTCAGAGGGAGGAACACAGATTGCAGGTGTCTGAGAATCGGGTGTTGAGGAGGATATACTCGTCTGGTGCATTTCTTCTTTATAATGGTCTGAGATGAGGAGGGGCTCTGTCGCTTGAGAATACGGCGTTACGAATGTGCAAGAAAATCATGACGGACTGCAGCTGAATGAAGCACATCCGCTTCCGGTATATGCTGACGGTGCTAATTTATTGGACGAGAACAAATACAGTGACGACAAACAGAGGGACTCTGTTGATGTGAAGGAGGAGCCTGGTCCAGAAGTAAACACATAGAAAACAAAGTACACCATGCTATATGTCCAAGTCTGGTCACCAGATTGCAGGACAGAATCATATTACCCAAACGCGTGTAAAATTCCTTAGAAAATGTGACAAAGTGTAAGTATTTGAGATCGGCAGTAATTACATTCACGAAATAAATTAATATAAATTTAAATTAGGGAAATGCTTGCGACCACTTAGTTCATATTCCGTTACTCTCCCTGTCTCGTATCTAAAAATCTTCCGATTTTTAAACTAAAACAAATGTAACTTTACCTGTTGTTTTGTATGGGTCAGAAACTAGGGTTTTACACCCTGAGGAGAAACCACAGATCGGGCGTATTTGTGGATAGGAGAATACGTGGGCCGGAGATACAGAAAACAACTGAAGAGTTTAAGGGAAGAGACCATTTAAGAAACCTGGCTGTTTTTGGCACACTAATATTGAAATTGATCATAAAGAAATAAGGTTTGAAGTTGTGGACTGGATTTATCTCTTTCCGGTCCAACGGCGTGTTCTTGTGAACACGGTAACGAACTTTTCGGTCCCATGAAAGGCAGGAAACTGGTGATAACGATTTTTTTAGCTTCTTAAGGAAACTGCTTCATTGTGTTCGTTGAGGAGAAATTTCAGGTACGGGGTTACCACCCTAACGGCTTGCCAAGTTCACAATACTTAATTAAATACGCAATTAAATCGGTTGATCGTTATCAAAAGTATAAACGTAAATTAATAACTAAACCAACTGATTTTATGGAACAGAGTCCTTGAGAAGCTGATATTACATCATTCAGCCAATTAAAATTGAATAACTAACTAGATGGCTTACCGAACCCAAAGGTTCATCACCGAATTAACCAAAGCCCTCCACCGGACCCTGTCCTGGGCCAACAAAATCCAGTCTCCTCCAACTCCCATCTCCCATAGATCCCGCCTGAGATTATCCTCCCATCTACGTCTAGGTCTCCCCAGCGGTCTCTTCCCCTCAGGCTTCCCAACCAATACCCGGTGCACACCTCTTGTCCCATCCATGCGCGCTACATGCTTCGCCCATCTCATTCTTCTCGACTTAATCAACCCGACAATGTTAGGGGAGGAGTACAGATTTTTAAGCTCATCATTATGCAGTTTTCTCCATCCCCCATCGTCTTCTCTCCTAGGCCCAAATATCCTCAACACCCTACAATTAAAATTGAATATCAGACACATTGTCAAAAAGTGTAGTCCTGCATTTGACTGATTAAGTTTATCTGTCAGAAAAACCATATGTATGCTCGGAAAACTCCGAAGACCCATAATAAATAGAGAAGTTCAGATACAATGGATTCCTGCATACACATGCATCAGATACGATTTGTTGAAACACTGGGCCAGAGTTGTCTGCATAATTTACGCGTACTTTGCATTTATAATTCTTTCGGGAGGTTCCTTGTTCGAATTTAGGCCTGGAGACCGGTCAGCTTGTGGTTTTCCTCAGTCCCTCCAGTCAAATACCAGGATATAGCCTAAAATTAGCCACCACCGTTTCCTTCACATTTCCAATTCATTATTCATCAACCATTTAATCATTCGACACTCTGTAGTTGAATGGACAGTGTCGTTTAATAAATAAATACGACCAGAAACTTTTACTATGAAAAAGAGCTACTTTGCTTAATGGACCTTCGCTGTTGTTATGCTTTTCGTGGAGCAACGGGTGACCTCTGGAAGTTTCGTGGAACAGTTGGAGGATGTTCTTATACGCAGAACAACTCCATAAAAACGCGATTGGTGAAGTTCGGTAACCTTATTCTTCAAAACGTCCGATGTTTCAGTTTTTTCTCATTGTTGCAGTTTTCGCCACAGTCTGCGCTGTGCTTCACACAATACAGGACGTTAAAAATGTTGAATTGTGTGACGTCATGCAAGATTCCCTGCGGTAGAAGTGTTAATTGCGTTCTGGTCTTTTTTACTTCAAAGTCCTCACAAAATTCTCAGA